ACAACCTGGACTAATACACGAAGTCCCCGACCTAGACCTTCCCCTGGAGGCTCCAAGAGCCCTTATTGTCATACCTACTGGTGTGATCTCACACTGCACTATTTCGACCGACCGACCGTGCCTGGGATGTGCGCGGGACTGGGATGTGTGCTCGGATGTGTGCTGGGACGTGTGCTGCCTCCGTGTGTTGGGATACGTGCAGGGCTGTGTACTGCCTCCGTGTGCTGCCCCTGTGGCCCCCGTCTTCCCCCAGAGGCCTCCCGCCTGCATATTCCGACCGATCGACCGTGCCCCCCCCCCCCCGCTTTCCGCCCTGTGGCCCCCCGTCTGCTCATTCCGACCGACCGACCGTGCTGCCCCCCCGTCTACCCCATCACCCTTTCCGACTGACCAACCGTGCGACCCCGTGCCCTCTCCACCCCTTGGCCCCCCGTCTGCTTATTCCGACCGCCCCGTGCCCCCTTTCTGCCCGACCGTGCTCCCCCGTCCCGGTGCTCCCGCCCGCATCCCTCCGCGCCGTGGCCCCCGTCTGCTTGTTCCGACCGTGCCCCCCCCCCCTTTTCTGCCCGACCGTGCCCTCCCGTCCCCCTGCTCCCCCCAGCACCCCCCCTTCGCCCCGTGGCCCGCGTCTGCTCATGCCGGCCGACTGGCCGTACTCCCCCCTTGTCCGATCTGTGTATTCCGACCGGCCGACCGTGCTGCCACCCCCCCGTCCACCCCGTCCCCTCACCTTCCTCATCCTTTTCCTCCTCCTCCTGAGGAGGAGGAGGAGGAAGAAGATGAGGGAGGTCTCGTCCTCGTCCTCCTCCTTCTCCTCCTCCTCGTTCTCCTCCTCCCCATCCCCCTCATCCCCCTCGTCCCTCCCTCCCTCCCCCCTCCTCCACCGAACTAGAGGACGAGCGTGGCCAGGAGCCCGCGGAGCCTCTCGAAGCGCGGGGCCCCCAGGGAAGAGAAGAGGGAGTATAGAGGAGGAGAAAGAGAGAAAAAGAGAGAGGGGGAGGAATAGAGAGAGAGAGAAAGAGGAGGAGGAGGAGGAGGAGGAGGAGGAGGAGGAGGAGGAGGAAGCGGACAAGGAACACTCCCCCATACCCGAAATGACGTGCTTCTGGCCGCTCCTCCCCGTTCTTGAAATTTTAGCCTGCCAGCGTGTCGCAGCACTCGCGCGCTTCCCCGCGTCTGCCAGGGACTGGCTCCCTCGCCATCCTTTTTTCCTCGCCGCAATTGTATGATCCTTGGCACGCGTGCCTCTTGACTGGCCCTAGTACCTTCCAAGGTGTCACCAGAAGAGCTACAAGAGGGCTCCGATTTGGCCCCCACGTTGCCCGAACCAGTCAAATACGCACACTCATCATCAGCACATTTCTGTGAGTTGCGTGTTTAGGTTGAGTATGGCCCCAAGGGCTGCGGAGAAGCCGAAGACAGCCCAGTAGAGCCCTAACAAAGATCCACGAAGGTACCAAGGTATGCCAGGATTGCCGCAAGAGGGCCTGGGAGGTCGTACGCAGGAGCCCCTGACAGCCCAACAGGGCCCCCAGAGAGGGCCCAAGGGGCCCCAATGGCTCCAAGATGGCCTGGAGGCGCCACAGGAAGGCTTCAAGAGGACTCCAGCACAGGCCCCCGGGGCCCAAAGACAAACCCGAGATGACTGCGCGAGAGCCTCACTATGGATGCTGAGGATAAGGATGCGACGAAGGTGGCGAAGAAAGTGGAAGAGGAAGAGGGGGATGAGCCGCCCCCGCCTGCCTGCCCCTATCGCTCCATCCTCTCCCGTCCTCCTCGTCCTCCTCGTTTTCATCATCGCCCCTCCTCGTTTTTCTTCCTCCCTGTCCTTCTCCTCTTCCTCCTCCTCCCCGTCATCCTCCTCGTCGTCCTGACATTTCTCGCCCCGCTCCCTCCCCCTCCCTCCTCCGCCTCTTTCGTCGCCCTCCTCCTCCTCGCCGCCCTCCTCCCCCATCCCTCCCCCTTGCCCCGTCCCGCGACCTCCTGCTTCGCGCGCCTCCCCTGCCCCGGGCTGGCCGAGGGCGGGGGAGCAACGGGGGGCACATCGGCCTACGCACGTGTGCACTTGCACCCAGGCGTGCGCCCCGGCCCCGGGCGCTCTTGGCGCGGAGCGCCCAGCTTCCGACGCCGCGCCCCGACGCTGCCGACGCCTCGAGAAGCCGAAGGGCGGAGGCTTTTCTCTCGAGCCTCGGCCTCGGAGGGCACTCGCCGGGCCCCATGGGCCGCCAGCTGACGGCTCGGGACGAAGAGCCGGCCCCGGGGAAAAGGTCCAGGCCTGGAGGAGGAGGAGGAGGAGGAGGAGGAGGAGGAGGAGGAGGAGGAGGAGGAGGAGGAGGAGGAGGAGGAGGAGGGAGGAGGGATGATGGGGAGGAGGGATGATGGGGAGGAGGGATGATGGGGAGGAGGGAGGAGGAGAAGGCGGAGGAGGGATCCCGAATGTGAGGGCCCAAGACGTCGGACTTCTGGGCGCGAGGCCGTCTGCGGCTCGGCTCCGTGGTGCCTGGCTCGAGCGCACCTCCGGCCGGCCCGATGTGCGGTGCGCGGCCCGCTCGGAGGGCGCCGCGGTTGGGCTCCTGGGTGGCCCCTGGCCTTCGGCAGGCCGACCTCTGGGCCCGGGGGCGGTGCGCAGCTGCTGTCGGGCCGTGGCAGGAGGTCGGAGGGCGCGCCGCGAGGGGGGGGCGACAAGCCCAGACCCCATCGCGTCGTGAAAAAAACACGACGGACGGTTCTTCGCTATTTTCGCCCTTTGGAGGTCCTCACCGGGCCTCGGGACCGTGAAAAAACGACTCAGGATGGAAAACCTGTCCAGGGGAAAGGGTCCAGACTTCTGGGGGTCGACGTTGTGGAAAAATCACGACGTCGGGGGTTTGGGAGGGGGGAGGCAGCGAAGGCTGCCGAGGAAGGGGCCCCGAGGGGCCCTTAAAAAGGGGCTCCTTTGGGGCCCAAGAGGGGGGGCCTGTGGGGCCCGAAAGGGGCACCTTCCCCCCCCCAATCCCCACATTCATCGCCCCACCCATGAGTTCGCGCCCAAGGGTGTGCACCTGTCCTGGGCCCAGGAGGGGCTCTCGGGAGCCTTGAGACCAGGGTGGATGCAAACGGAGGTCAGCCTTAGCGCCGGATCGCGCTCGCACGGGGCTGCGCAGGACGAGCATATAGAACCGCTCCGGAACGCTCTGGGAAGGCCGCGACGCTCGAGACATCGTCCAGAGCCGCCGGATCTCAGAGCTTCTCGATCTATCCTCGCCCGAGTTCATCCTCGTCCTGGCTTCGTCCTGTGCGCAGGACCCTGCAAAGCCAGGGTGGCGCTGACTCAGGCCAGCGCGCACCCACACATGCGACGTCCTGCTTTTTTATGGACGGCGCCCCTGGAAGTCTGGATCCTTTTTCCCCAGGACCGGCTTCTCATCCGGAGCCGTTTTTGAACGCTCCCGAGGCCTGGCGAGGGCCCCCATGCAGGGCCCGAATCTGGCGAAACGCCACCCGCCTCGATTTTTGTTTTAAGACGCGAGCGTGCATGGGCAGGCTACTGCAGGGTCCTGCCAGGCCCGGCGAGGCCCGGGCCTCGCCCCCGACCCGGGCGCCAGCGCGTCCCCGAGGCCCGGCCCGTCGGCGCAGGTGTGCCGGCGTGCGGGACAGCGGCTCGGCGTGTCGCTGCGCCAGGGACAGTGGGAGAAACAGCACTACGATCCCAGACCCCCTCGAGTCATGAAGAAATCACGACGGAAGGTTTTTCCATCTTTTCCGCCTCTGGGGGCCCTTACTGGCCCTCGGGACCGTCAAAAACAGCTCAGGATGAAAAACCGGTCCCGGCGAATAGGTCCGGACCTCTGGGGTCGCGTCATGAAAAAATCATGACGTCGGGGGTCTGGGATTGGTGGTGGGATCCCGACAAGAAGCGTTGGAGGAAGATCCTGTGGAAGTGCAGTGGCCCACCGCGCGTCGGCGCGACAGGCCTGCAGCAGCACGTGGCTCGGGGTTCTCACCGCGCCCCAGGCCAGTGCGCGGCCACGGCGGTCTGCGTGCCCATTTGAGTAGTTCTCGGGTGGCGAGCCGGAAAACGTGTTCACTGATCGTGCGTTGCGACGTCGCTGTCATCACATCGCAGGACAGTGGCCCACCCCGCGCCAGCGCGACAGGCCTGTCCCCAGACATGTTGGGCCTCCCAGATGGGGTCGGAGTGGATGGGGTCGGAGGATTGCTCCGCATCGCCGATGCATCGGCGATGCGGCTCGATGCAGAGCCCGATCTGCTTCACGTCGACGACGCCGATGCATCGCCCACGCCGACGATGCATCGCCGGTGCATCGCCGATGCATCGCCGATGTATCGGCGATGCGGCGCGATCCTCCGACCATCTATTCCGACCCCGTCTAGGAGGCCTCTAGACATGCGACGTCGTGATTTTTTCCAGGACGGCGTCCCCGGAAGTCCCGACACTTTCCCCGGGGCGGGGTTTTCATCCCGAGCCGCTTCTTGACGGCCTGCAGGGGCCGAGAATAGCGAAACAAATGTTTACGACGCGATCGTGTCTGGGTCCACGTGCCAGTGCCCAGGCGGCAGCGTCCCGAGCCTTTCTCCGAGCGACGCGCTATGCTCGCTCGCAGGGCGCAGCGCGTCGCTGGGGCCGCCGCCGCGACACGCGCAGCGCGATTTCTGACCAGACCGCAGCGTTGGCGTCCTCCTGCCAGCGTTAACTCGGGCGTGTCTCTCTACAGGAGGAATCACCAAAAATAGTCAAAAATAGCACGGGAGCATGTTTTCATTATGCCTGGACTATTTCTGAATATTTGTCCGACTATTTTTGATTTTCCCTCCTAAATCCGCCTGTAGGAGGACACGCCCGACCTAACCGTAGCGCTGGCGTCCTCCTACCAGCGGTTCCCAAGGTCGCCCCTCCGCCGCCCCATGTGGCTGCGAGCGCTGCGCCTGCTGACGGGGGCGCTGGCCTGGCGGGTGGCTGCCGACGCGGAGCTCTGCAGGCTCAACGACATACCGCAGCA